AATTCGGTTTTTAATTAATTGCCCGGCCTGCAAAATATAAGATAGAAATCGGACATCCCCTTTTTTAAGCGCGCTCATTTTGTAATAACTTGGAACGCCGTCTACCGGTTTTTTTCTGCAACTCATTAAAACGTCATTCATTTACCATGCTTACCCAATTAAGTGCATTCAAACTTCAATGCTCATTAACCAATTAACCCCTAGGCCTGATTGTAATTTGCCGACGCAACAACTGTTGTCATTATCTACATTCCGGCATGTCTGTAAGACTGATAACGTGTAAACAACTCGACTTGAAACTCGTTTCTATCCCGGTTTTCGCTTTTTATGGGAATCTAAATTCTTAATAATTACTTAACGATGCTGAAATCTTAAAATTTTAATTCACTCCCTTCTTCCCTGATAAGAGAGCATTAGGCGGCCGCCAAAAAACAATCCAAATAATCCCCCTTGAACGGTTTGAATCCTGATAAATTCATTACAAAACTTACGTGCTTAGTGGCGCCGCGGTGCGGCGGTACAAAAAACAGTTACACAATATTGTAAACATAGAAAACTCACTCCTCCAGCAAATAATTAACTTCAGAAACCCCTTAGTAACGCAGCGCCAAACTTACAACGCTTCCTTATACCGGGTGTTCAGGAAAGCTGGACGACTTAACAAATGTACGGTGCGGTCATAACTTCTGGTATGAACTTCGAGACGGAAAACGGGCGCTTCGATACAAGGTTACAACAGATTTTTGACGCAGTTCGATGTGAATCCTCTAAAGCTTTCCAGCGAGCGGTATAAGACGTCTTCCGACACTGGAGACATTGTTATTGACATATTCAACATACAGATATATTATTATGTATCTGTTTCCTGCCACAAACACTATATAGGTTCACCGTCAGTATCTTGTACCCCCTTGTTGTGTAAGGGAATCTTCAAATTTCACATTTCTTTTTGTAGCACTTACGGTTTTAATAGACATGATAATTAAATTTATTTAAGCAATAAATATGCCGACTGTGCACATTTGTTTAACGAGTGAAATACATTTTTTAGCAATCTTAATTTGTAAATAAACACATTGGAAATGGGTTGCCTAAAAAAATTAAGTCAACTTTTACATTGATGCGTACCCCACGATCAACTGTTACGCTGCGTCCTTCTCTTTCACATGGAACAGTACGGTTGTCGCAATTCTAACCAGCGCCCGAGAGAGAAACGTGTATTGTTCCATGTGAAAGACAAGGACGCAGCGTAACAGATGATCATTGTGTACGCATCGATGTAAGAGAGAGTACGTACGCTCTCACCATGTGATAGAAGCAGACAGAAATATTAATTTCATGAATTGTAATTAAGAGCACTCTTTTTTTAGAAAACCCATTTCCAATGTGTTTGTTTACATATTGTTAAGAACTTCAGATTGCTGTAAAATGTATTTCACTCGGTAAACAGATGAGCGAAGTTTAACCTTATGTGGGATCTTGGGCATAGAAACAGTTGGATTTTCATTTAGCGTTGTCAAAACAACTCCCAATAAATCAGTCCTGCCAACCAATCTTTAGTAATATTTTTGCCGGCCAAGACCGAAAAGTATTTTTACAACGTAAAACAAGGCTTGTATCACGGAGACACAAAATAGCGTTCTCTTGTAATTTATTGTAGTGCATCAAATTTCTATAAATGGGAACTTCGCTTAAATAAACAATGTTTGGCTAACATTCGCCGTTTTCATTGTGTATTTAAATTAAATGTCGCTAACACGTTCCTTTAGTAGTCTTTCCGTTCCATTTTCGGAAGCCATCAAGTAAATGTGTGTGATGAAACTACAATCAACGTTTCACAATACCTTACGATGATAGATAATGTCGAAAATACCAACTGCTGCACTCATTCTAGCGTATATTCACAAAACGTTTCCATTATTTTCTCTAAATGTGCAAGAACATTTTTGTGTTAACTCATACGTAGAATAGTCGGAGGACGCATACCATACCAGAAAGGTTGGCGATTGATTTAGGTTAGGTACATGTACTTTTGTCCAGTCAACCAACATTTTCTATTTCCATTTGAAATATGACGCCTCCTTTTCCGTAGAAATAAATTTACCTCAATTCCGTTTGTGTGATTCTCCGTTCAACTGCGAAAAAGAAAGTTAAAATTTGTAAAAATGATAAAAATCCTCGCTTCATTGATTTTCAGATTGCCCTACATTGTGTCCAGTTTCGTATAATATCAATGTAATTTTTAAATGTTGATAGCAAAATTCTTAATTAAAGTAAGTATTTCGCTGGATCCCACATATTAGACTGAAGCGAAGAATTGTGGACATGAAAATAGTGTTGATAGAATGGCTCTCTCTTCATAGTGATACTACTAATAGTATGTTCCGTGAATCAACCAATTGCACCAAGGTTACCGTTTTCCGTTCCGTGAATAGTGGTTATGTAACGAGGTCACCAGTTCTGGTTATTTATGGTTGCAACCAGACGCTACCGTAGAAAAGGGTTCGTTGTGAGCGGTTAATTGGTGATTTGGCGGGAAAAGGAGATCGGAAAATACTAAAATATAGGTTATGTCTCTGTTGTTGGATTTTATAAATTCATTTATTTTTAATTTGTACTAATAACCCGGAAATTTGGGAGAGTTATTTAAAAATAATAGAACAGGAACAAATTGCATATAAGAACGGGGTTTTAAAACATAGTAAATTTCATCAAAAGAATCACAAGAAAAAGATAAGGTTCCTAAAATGCATTCGGCATTGCCTTTATGGATTTCTAAACCGATTCGTTAGACATTTGAGGTTATGTTTATGTTGCTCTGAGGTGGGTCCTTGGGCTTGGTAGCGTTCCGTGAATAGAACGTCACCACAAATAACCGGAGAATACCGTAACCACGGTTTCGGTAATACCTAGCGATTTATTCACGGTAAGTACATACTATCATGTGAATACTCGTATATTAAATTTTTGAATATACAAAGGTGTGATATATTAAATGTGGAAATATGACAAAAGAAGGTAATTGAAACGGTGGGAGGGGACGTGGGGGCAATGTATCTAGAAAGAAAACCAAAAAATTTGCATACGTGCAGGATGAGTTTATTATTTTCATTTTCATTACGGGGATCTTGTAAACCGTAAGAGATACAAAGTCGCAAGTTATGCAGAATTTTATGCTGATTAATTTTTTCATTTATAATTATATTTATTGCCATAAGAAGTACAATGTAAACTTCAAGGCAAAAATGCAAGGTTGATTTCTTTGAAATACTAACTGTTAAGTGTCGCTGACTGTAATTTTTTACCTATCAGTAGAATGCCGGCACTCCCCCCCACCACTTTCTGTGACGTCACGAAGACCTTGGGTTTTTCCCCAAGGTCGTGGTTTTGGGTTTTTCCCAATGTCGTGGCTTTGGGTTTTCCCAAGGTCGTGGTCTTGGGGTTTTTCCCAAGATCATGGTTTTGGGTTTTTCCAAGATCGTGACTTTGGTACAGGATCATGGTCTTGGATCCTGGGGCAGGGTTGTGATTATGGATTCTGGATCAAGGTCGTGGTCTTGGATGCTGAGTTGAGATTGTGTGATTTGGATTCTGGGATTTGAGTTTGGACTAAAACTGTGCTCTGGGATTTTCCTAGCGAATTTAAAAGAGAGAGGTGTAGAGAAAAATAAGAGATGCTGTATTACAAACCTAATCTAAGTACATACTCTTAGAAAATTGTACAAAGAAGAAGAAGAGGAAAAAGCAAAGCGAGAAGCAAGCAAGCAAGCAAGCAAGCACACACACAGACACACCCTCTCTCCCTCACCCTCACACACACATGGCCTTGGACTATGAACTGATCTGGCTTTCGCTTTGAATAATGACGACAATTTAATATTAAGTGAATTTGTTCACAAGTTTCCTCATTTTTTAATTAATGAAATCCATGATTACATGGATTTTTGTACAAATAAAATGTGTATAAATTACGTTGTTAAAGTTATTTTATTCAGTTTGTTTGCATACTTCGACGAATTTACAATGGAGAATAAGATTTATCACCCCTTTAGTGCAATCGTAAGTGGACCAAGCGGATCTGGAAAGAGATATTTTGTTGTAAATTTTCTTAAAAATGTAGGAAACATCTGCAACGTAGTGTTTGAAAGAATAGTATGGCATTACGCTGAATGGCAGGAATTGTACGACGATTTAAAGGGGATTGAGTTTCATCAGGGACTACCTGACATGTCTAATTTCGATGGTTTAAAACCAACACTGGTGATCATA